ACCAAATGGAAGCATTTATGTCAACTTATGCACCACTAAGGAAGAAATAGTTCGTTTTTAACAGTACCGTAGGCGATGGACATCTAGACATGCTTCTTGAATCCTAGTTGAAATATTGAATGAAATAATTACACGGTTAAACAAAAAGTGGTTGCGAATTAGGCTGCGGATTTCTTCAGAAAATAGGTACGAGTACAGAGACGTGAATATCTTAGTGCTTCGAATTTCCTAGGGGTCTAGATTTATTTTTCAGTCTTCAATTCATACCATGAAGATCTTGAAGTACTGTTTGCTACAGATGGCACCGGTTAGCTTTGACAATGCAACTATAGAGCAGAGAAAAATAAAACTGATTCAACCGGCTGCATTATCTTGGGTATTTAAGACTTGTTAAAAATTGTCAACAGTGCTGTTCTATTTGCGAATACGCTTGCTTAGACGAAATGCTTGTTAGATTTAGGGGGCCATGCGAATTCCGCATGTATACGCCAAATAAACTCGAAAATAAGGTTTAAAATTATGGTATTGAACGATGCGAAGACCTACTACTTATTGAATGCTTATATTTATTTTGGCAAGGATAGTGATGAACTTGCCCTTTCTGAAGATGAAAAGAAATGGGGAAACTGACCCACTCAGTTTTACTTTTGGCTTCTGTCCATGGAACAAACCGAAATATTACTACTGCTAACTGGTCCTCATCCATTTCTAGGCACTGGGATTAAAGAAGAAACCACTGACATTCGTTGGAATCCTGAAAAAGAACAAAAGATAAGTACCGCATGTATATTTTCCTGCAAAAGGGTGGGATGAAATGTCAGCTCATTTTGGTTTTACTAAAGGCCTCACTTTAGTGTCCATAGTGCCAAAGAAAAGAAAGCTTTTCTCCTAATTTCGTCAATGCACCACGATAGTCGTATCTACCCTATGCTTGGAAACCAGAAATCTTCGAGTTTTACAATGAAACCAAAGGAGGCGTTGGACGCTTTAGATGAAATATGAACCGTTTACTCTACTAGTTGATGACCAACGAGGGCCTCACGCTATTTTTAATCTTCTAAACATTAGCCTCGTTACTGCTTACCTGTTATTTTATAGTTTTCATGCGCAAAAGAGAATAGGATACACCAAAAGTCTTGCTAAACAACTTGAAGAGCCTCAACTACACAAAAGACTACTGGGTAGTCGTCTACCTCGTAAATTGCGACTTAACATCTCACAACTTCTCGAAAAACCTATAACCAGCCCTCTTCACAACTTATGGAAAGATGTGGCAATTGTCCAAGTGGCAAAGACAGAAAGACAAGAGTTATTTGTGTTGAATGTAAAATTCCAACTGCAAGCCTGTACTATTAGTCATTGTGTGGATTGTACTTAAAAGAACTTTGGCAAATAGTTATTGTTTAAATATACTATGTTTTTTATAGTTAGAATACTTCATTAGAGGCGTTATTACTTACACAGCGTTAGCCTATTATGTTCCAGGTTGTACTATTATGTAATAGCATACAGTGTAAAATTTTGTGTGCATGCATATGACATTAAAATTTTTATCTTTAAACTTTTCTTGTAATTTAAATTCTTTTCATTTATGCAGTCATAAGAGATTCTTAAAAATAAAATAAAGAAAAATTAAATTTAAAAAAGATCCCGCCGATTTGTCTTCAAAAAAAAACATTTTTATATATGGGGGTTCATAAAACCCACACTTCTCTAGTTAAAGGTTAATATTAATAACGATAATTATACTTATAGTCATAGTCTTTCAAGGTGGCACAAGGGCCTCAGGGTATGTATCCTTCCCCCAACTTTTTAGTTGGACATATCCTGCTTTTAACCGCTCTGTCAACTTAAATAAAACTTGTACATCTTCATGTATTTCAAGGGAATCCTTTTATAGTACAATTCACTCTAAAATTGAAGTTTGTGTGACATCATTTAGCAAAACTCTTGCCTTTACGTATAACGCGGAGGTGCTCTTGGATGTTGCTGTGTTTAGAGTAAAGAGTAACAATTTTGTGTTTAATGTCAATTTATTAAAAGTATATTTATAAATAGGATTTTGACGACCTGACCATATATATTATTTTATCCTTTTTTTATTGGATATATAATTAAAAGACACATACGCATGTTGTGATAGTTATAGTCAAGTACGACTATTTAACGCTTTCTAAGGTTAGTGTATATTTGCTTGTATATAGCGCGTTTTCTACCCGTTTTTGTTATACAAGTTTGGGCGTAAAGTGATATTCAATAACTTTTTTTTGTCTCTTTCCTGCTTTTTAAGCATTGTTGTAAGCGCTGTAGTTTATATATACGAAGCCACGCGCATTGAGAGCAATATTAACATAAAAGTTAAACCCTCGGGTGTAACACTAGAAAGGCAAATTGTAATTAAACTCCAAAAAAGTTTCCCTATGCAGTATATTATTGAAGGTTAATGAGGAGTGAAAGACCTCTGCATTGTCCTTTTAACAAGCCTTTCAAGAGTTTTAAGCTAATAACTTATAACATTAAAAAAAACACGTAGAATCTTCTTAATAATGATCCATTAAAGTAGTTACTATTAATAGATTGCCTTCCACACATAATTTATAATGTCTCAATAAATTTCTTTAAAGTATAATATCTCGGTTATAAGCTTAAATTTATACATTTGGTAAAAACATCTTCCCCTTCCCTTTATTTTTTTTGTAGGGCTTTGACAACTAGTAAACTGTCTGAAAATCGTTCATACACGATAAGATTTTGCAAATAGATAGGACGGCAGACACAAAAATTAACCACGTGCAGTGCAGAATATAATTATGTTTTTTGGTGCCAAAGTTAGGTTAAGGAAAAATTTATTTAGTTGTGTTAATGATAACCTCTAGCAAAACTATATAGACAGGGACAATTTGACATGACATGCAACGCAATACGATGGACAATTTATGGTTATTTGTCAAGTCTCTTAAACTTTAAAGTATTACTATTAAACCTCAGTTTATTTTTACATATCTGAAGGTTAACTTTTCCTGTAGTAAACTATTGAACAAGAGTTAGCCTTTTGCGTAATGAACGATTTATATTTTAAATACAGTACCCTAAAAATTGTTCATGGTAGACCAGGTAGAGTGAAAAAATGGCAATTCATGACGGAATGATTTAATGCGCTGGTAATCTAAAAGCTTACACAACTTTAAAAAATATACAATGCCTGAATAACCAAGAATTATTCCGTGGTTAAAAACAACTTATCTCGCCACAAGACTCAACCTTTCCTATATCAAATGTTTGGCTGTGATGAAATAGTTCATTTGGCCTTTCTTTATTTACAGGGAGAAGGCGTTTGCAAACTTAATATAAGACTTAGTACGTATTTCTTTTAAAGAGACCCTAAAAATGTCAGCTATCTAGTAAGAATAAAAAGGACTTAAATTAGAAAGGCGAGACCAACAGCCCGTTATAAATTCTGTAGCCATCTTTGTAAAACTTGTAAGCTATGTCAACTTAGCAGAAAATGGGAAATTATCTATTACAGACGTTAATCTATAAAAAATTAAGATAGCAGCAGTAACTTAAAATATTTTTCCGGCTCTACTCTACCGTCCAGTTCAAATTGCCATCAGTTAGCAATTTTGTTGGGCGTTGACGGAGATAAAAAAATTCTGCGAAGTCCTTGCGCCGAAATTTGAAAAGAAGGTTAAGGTTTTAAGTTGAAATTAAGGAGATTCCATCAAGTTAATTTTCTATACACGAGGGCAACTATGTTAAGTTTGGGCTAAAAATACACCCAAATATGCTATTTAGAGGTTTGTACAGTTTCACCACAAAACCCACTGTGTAGAGGGGTTATCCATTAAAATTATATTTTGTTTAGATAAGTAAACGAAGAAGAAATTAATACTTACATATTATATTTTACAAACTTTACAGTCCACTAACTTTAAATTAGTCTATTTATGTAACCTAGACTTACCTTAAAGATCTTTACGTTGTTTGTACTAGGGCTTTTGGTAAAAAGGCTAATTTTATTATAGACAAAATTTATTCTCCTTAAAAATCTTTTTAAAGCCCATAAAATTTTTTAAAAAAAAATTAATCTTTTACACTTTTTGTAAAACTTTGTTACACTTCAACCACAATATTTACATAGAAAAGGGCTTTTAAAAAATTTAAAAAACCTTTACTCCAACAGTTTTAATACGTAAATATCGAAATTTTATGTTTGGAGTCGTATCTCAATGATTGGGTGCAATGAAGCGTAAAAAATCAAAAAACGCGAGTTTCATTTTCTGGCGCAGATTTCTCCTTCGGTCTTGATGGTTGCGTATTTATTCTCGCCCTCATTAGGCCTTACATATTCAACGTCTGCGACTTAAAGGCTTAGAAGTTTGTGTTAACCAATTTGTATTAGTTTATTCTCCTATATAAGGGCTGTAATAGATACGAATAAGCGGGTAAACTTACAATAACTCTACTATAATCCCTGGCAAATAAAAAAGCTGCATTTTTATAAAAAGTTTAGTTGCTGTCACATAGCGGACCAAATCTTAAAATTAGCTATTCATCTGATTCTTCAATTTGTATTTACCCAAATTAATTTATAAAGGGGGTGGCGGAAGAGAAGCTGGAAATGCGGATTCGCAGTTAAATAAGACAACGTAATTTAAACTTGATTGGAGGTAACTAGAAAGTGTTAGTTAATATACTTTTTTGCTTTCAATAAAAGCAAGAGAACTTTTATAATCCGATCTTTTAGTATAAAATTTATTTGCTGTAAGTGCCTTTCTTTAATATCGTGATGTATTATCATAATATATTAATAAAAAAATTATATTAATGCAGGCCAATGTCCTCTGCCATATAATAAAGGAAAGACTGATTTCTACCCGAGGACTTTAAAGCAAAATAGTTTTAAAAGTCAGGTAAAGCAGCTTTAAAGCTTTTTTAATATGTTTATAATAATTTAAAAAAGTAACAAAAAGAAAAAATCTAAATAGGTAATTGTAACTTTACACTTTTTTCAAAGTTTGGGGCTCTACAAAGTTAAATTTTTCAGCTCCAGTTAAGGACATGACAGTATCGAATATAGCAAACTGCGCTGCTGTCAGAGCGCCAAACATAACACAACTGATTTACAGACATATTAAAAAAAAGTGTGCTATTAAAAATAATAAGCAAGCAGACCGAGGCCCCAATCCCGTGATGCAAAGCTTTTTAAAGCCAATGTCACGTGCTATTCGAACCAAGCGAGTGTTGATCGATCCCTCTCCGCCGGCGCCTTTGTCTTTGTTAATGAGCGAGAGAAGAGTGTCGGCCGGATGGGATATGATAGCAGCCGCTACGCCTGCCAAGACCCCAGACGAGAGTGCAAGCGCCATCTTCCCTCCTTCGGTCATATCGGACGGCTTCGTGCCTGGCAAATAAAGAGCAAAAGTACCCATCAACGCCGATAGGCAAGGGAATAAATATTAAAGCCACCAACCAATGGCGAGCACAATTTGCTCAGCAGCCAATCCTTGAACGGTGAATTTTGCCATCGTGTAGGGGATTTGCTTAAGAAGAAGAGGATAGAACCCAGAATAAAAGCCTCGAATGAGTCCTTCCTAATTTATGATAAACATAAATAAAAGTAAATCAAAAATGAAGTATAAAACAAAGTAAAAAACGTAAAAAGATAAAGTATAAAAAATAATTATATAGTGAATCATCATAGAGTATACATAATAATACAAAAATCTAAAGACAATATTATTTATGTAAACATAATATATGTTTAAAAAATTACTTCTCTAAGAATTTTTATAAAGGCATTAGCGACGCCGGAAGCATACTCCGGATTGGACACCTGGCGAATACGAGCTGTTTCCATGGGACACAAAAATATATCGGCAATAAATTCAGCGCAAGCAGAGGCCGAGAGGTATATGGGTACCCTTCAGTATAATGATAATAATATTTACAAAGTAAAATTTAAAGCTATCACTGGTTTAACATCTTAACAAAAAGTAAATAAATTACTCCATTTATATATAAGGCTCAATACTTAAAATAATGTAAGAAATTTATTATATAAAGGAAATTCATATAAAGATCACTATGAAGAACAACAGTTTTACCTGTATTCCCACGCTTTGTCAACTCCTAGACTTTGGGCCATTTTGACTTTGAAAAATTCTATACCTCCAAATTTAAAACATCCTTTATAATAAAAATGAGGCTAAATAGTTAACTTTGTGTTAAAAAGTCCTACGAAAAATATATAAGAAAAAAGTTTTACAATAATTTACAAAAAAAATTTAAAGCAAGAACTTATTTAAAAAAGGATTAAAAAATTAACGGGGCAAAAATTAATAGTACAAAGTTTAATACTAAAAAATTAACTTCGAGGCTTACGAATTGCATAACAAAATCTAATAACTTTATCAACACTTAAAAAAATAGTAATAGAAAAGATTACATACACCTTGATAATAAAACTTTTATTAAAAATCATTTTATTTTTTATATTTTTTGTTAAATTTTAAACACTCTATAAATATTATAAGTCTTAATTAAGGTACTCAGTTATACCATATAAAAAAAGTGCTTAGTACATGTTAAAAAAATTCACCTTGCATAAAATATCCAAAGGCTGTGGGGCCCAGGCCAGTAGCTAAATCTTTTATCCCATTTGTTTTTATTATTTTCTTGAAACCATCATAAAGACCTTAAAAATATAAAAATATTTGTTGTAATAGAAGAATCAGATAAGTTATTATAATAAAGGCAAAATAAAATTAAAAAGAATATCAAAATAATTGAAGAACCGTCATAAATTCCGGGATGGAGTTGAATTCTGGTTTTTATGACATCTACAGGGCAAAGAGCTCCGTGGGTTATGGAACAACAAATTCCTATTATAAATTATAATATAGTTAATAAAAGACAATATTAAAATGATTTAAACCTCCTGATAAAGCCCCTTTAGCAAAATAAAGGGTTGTATATTTCTTTTGTTCGGGCATGATCCTAAACCATATGATTAAATTATATATTATAGGAAAATTTATAGACTGTATAAAGTAAAAAGATACTGTAGAGATATTAAGCTTGCAAATAAAGAAAAAAGTATGGTAAACAGGCAAGGCACAATTCAAACGCTTAAATTATCTCCCGGAAGTTTTATATAAATATATATACGCTAGATCTGTTTTGTCGAGCCGCTGCTAAAAAAGATGCACCCCCGAGCCATGAGGATCTAAGAATAGGGTTTGGAGGCTTATGCTCTGCTCATTTTGAAACTGGAGGTTTTAATTGGGTAAAAAGCTCCTAACTTACTAAGAAGAGTTTGTATCCATTAACTTCGCAGACGCAAAAGAGTAATATATATTTTGTTTCAACATAAAACATGGACGTTAATGTCCTGCTTTTTATCGCTCTCAGACGCAAAACTAGAATCTGCTTATAATTTATGTATAAACTTGTATTCTTTTTTAAGCTTGTAAATTGGATTATATTGGCTTTATTCCCGTATTCTAATGCCGTGAACTTTAGGTAGTGAGCAAGATACTGTAAAGATCTGAGTTAATAAGTTGATAGGTGTACCTAACATCTTCTTGCCCTTTTAAGCAGACGTCACTCGGTGAGCATGACAGAGATTTTGAGTCAGTGAGTCGGTCACTCTAAGTTCTTTGGGTGCACTGTCAGGGATAACAACGTGCATTCCAATAAGTTCATCGGTTTTAATTTTTTTGTAGTTGATTCAATATTTTTTAATCATCTTTTTAACAAAATTTCTCTCTTTAATGTTACACAGAAAACATCTACCCACTGTTTAACCACCCACCTGAGAACAACCTGCTTTTGATATAAATACACGTTATACTGCAAATTACTTAATCCTTCATGCAATTAATATTCTCTTACAAGTTTAATCCAAGGTTACAAACATTTTTTTCTTTATAAACATTTATGCAGGCATCATCAATAATAATTTGGTTATTAGACACTTTTTGATATCATTAGTTGCTCTTCGATTCATATTATTTACGTCAAGTACGGCTGAACCCTTTAAAGAAATGCTTTTAGTGTGAGTCACCTTCTTTTATTAAAAAGGATTATGTAATAATGTTCTTTACTAGTCTCTTATCCTATCTAACTATAACGCTCCCAGTGCTTTGTAATTTCAAGCACACATGGGTTATAGGCTTTAAAGCGATTCTTGTCTTTTAAAGTTTTAAAAACCTCTTTAGGCTAACGACTGATCATATTCTTTGGTCACTCTTTTCTTTTTGACCTTAGTTATAGTCCCACTAAGTAATATCGGTTTTTCGTTCGCTTTTAACCCGACTTGAGTCTGTTATTTCTATTAAAAACTAGACCAATTACTTTAAGATAAGCTGTTATAATTTTAATAGGACCCACGTTTTTTTTAAAGTCTTTTACTTTTAAAATTTTTTCTATGTTGCAATTTACTGCCACCGCGTCATCCAACAATGCTACGGTTGTCTCATTTCTCACTTAAAATTTCTTAATACTAAAAAAGAGAACAGGCCAGCTGAAAACAACGACTACAGAAGTAGATCCAACCACCGAGAGAATATCTAGTTTAACAAGGAGAATGAAGGAAAATAAAAGAGCAATGGATTTCATGAACCTAATGTGTAGTGTTCCTCAAAAGACAACTGCCCTGGAACCTTTGAACTGGAGGTCAAACCTTAGGAAATGTGCTCTTATAAAGGTCTCAGAGAAGCATAGGGGTTTGACCCTAAACAATACTTCCATGAAAAAGTGCAGGCTGCATGATAGAGTTCGTATATATTAAATATAATGAAAAATATAGAGAATTGTTAATCTAATTCATTTTACTATGAACTAAAATAAACCAAAGGAATTTTTGATTTCTCGTGAAGCTAAAACTTTTACTTCTTACTGCCTAACCCTAACATAAATGCTTACGTGATGATTAACCCTAAATATTTCTATTTAAATTTTTTTTTATAATTTTGGGTTTTGTTTAATGTATGCATGTAATGTGAGGGTTGAGCTCTTGAGAGCACAACACTCTTGTAACATATACCTGTTTATCCACTTAATGAAATTTTTTTACCAAAACATTTAAAAGATATTCCTGTGGGTACTTCCGCTGCTCCATTTTTAACTACTTAATATTTGGAGTTATATTAATTTACTCCTTGCAAAATGTTGTATAAAAGTTAGATGGAGGGTACATTGCCCATATGATTAAAAGAATTATAAAAGGTTATTTTCCTAACTTTATTAAGCATTTGTCACAATGTACCTAACTAAACAGGACAGTGGAGATTTATCAGAACTATTTTATATTCTTTCTGAATTTATTTGTTTAAAAAGAAAAATTTAGAACTGTTCACAATATTATTAAAAAGGATATTAATTTGAAATTTTCATTAACCTCTCCGGTGCACGTCTTCCTATTACCATAGAAAAATCTTATGCGACTGTGGCTCGAGGGAATAAGAGTACGCAAGTGTAATAGTAACCAAAAAATACATTATCTTTAAATTTCATATACAACTTATATAGTATTTAAAAAGAGATTTCCTCGTTATATTATCTGTGCTTATGAACTAGAAGAAATATCAGACAAAGCTCTTTTTTTTTAAGCTTACAAACAACCTGAATACCTAAAAAAACGTTTTTTACAATCAATTAGTTGGGGGTTTAGTTGTGGATATGATTTTATAATTTACTGGCTAGGTTAAAAAGTTGTTTACTTGCATTTTTGAGGTTTACCTTTCTGTAAACAAGTCGGAAATGGTTGAATTTTAACAAAAAGCAAAAAAAATTGTTTTTGGATCGTGTCCCTATTTGCACTGCCTCTGACTTTTTTCTCAAGGTTAACAAAGAGTAGTCACCCGTGTATTCAAGTTCACAACAGTAACTCGGCAAAACTTCGACAGAATTAAATGGAAAGAATGTGTAAGAGATCGAAAGGAGGTTGCTTCCCCTTGACCTACATTCGATACAGTCGGGTTTATATATAACTCGAACCTAGAATTTTAAAGGTAACCTAGTATGTATTTTACCAGTTCCTTATAATTCGGAACATTTTAGCGGTGCAATTATAAGCTACTGCTTTATAAAAGTGTGCGAAGCTTGACTGGGGAGATACTAGGGGGACCCTCTCGCACCCTTTTATAAAGCGGTAGCTTAATATTTTAGCTATAAAGTTACAAGGTACCATACAATTTGGGAAAGGTAAGAATTTAATAGTAGTAATATTTATAAAAATAATAAGCTATAAATTATTAGAAAGTTGCCGAAGCTGCAGTTAAAGACTTAGTTAAATCTGCTAAGCTTTGCAGTTTTTGATTTATATTTTTTTTACAACTGTATTTTAATTAATACCAGTGGATTAGATATTCACTTTTTCAAAACAACCTTTTCACCGTTTAGGATATTGAAAATTCATATTTATATATAACTTGAACACTATGAATCTAAACGTAAACTAATATAACTTATTCGTTATATTGACCACTTCCTTGGATTTTGTAACATTTTAGCGGTGCAATCGTAAGCTACTGTTTTGCAGAGGGCGAGAGGTAATAATTAGCGCCCCCACAGCCATGATCCGCACACTTTTATAAAGCAGTAGCTTATAAATGCTCCGCTAAAATGCTCCGACTTAAAAGAAACTGGTAAAATACATATTAGTTTACCTTAAAAATTCGAGTGTTCAAGTTATATATAAACCTGAATATTTAAAAATTTCCTAATTCGAGTATGATTGTTTTTGGTATTACTAAATATCGAAGCCTAAACCAATGGTCTTATTTAAAAAAGCTATAGATTATTTGGAAGATGCTGAAACTACAAGAAAAGAATCAGTTAAACTTGCTAAGCTTTGTGGTTTTTGATTTTCATTTTTTATACATAAAATTGAATGCTGTATAATTGGTTTAGTCTTAGATAATTACAAAATTTTAAAACAATCTCGTAGATTTTAAATTATCCCCAAAAAGCAAAAAATAATTTTTAAAAAATTTAGTATAAGGAACAATAAAACTAGGGAGCGTTATAATTATATAATTATAACATAGAAGAATAACTGGTTCGGCTTTAGTTTATATAAGGAACTCTACTAGTGCGTATTTTTTGTCCCTCACTCTCGTTGTTTTAATTTATTTTTATTATTAAGAGACCAACTGATCTGTCTTATACCAACCGTGATGCATTAATTTTGTACTCATGGTTAAGTATTTAGGTTAAATTCTTATTTTTAAATATATAATATATTAAATTTATTGAATATCTCTACTTTTGAAAGTAAACCTTGAAATGCTGCGGGTTATGCCCGTTTAGCAAGTTAAAATAGCTCCTGTGCTACTTCAAATTATATAATTATACTATGTTTACAATTTAATATAATAAAGAATATAAGCCACTTTAAAAAGCTATAACTTAAATCAGTGCACTTTTTTAGTTAAATTAAAATATTGCAAGAACTCTATCTCACCGAAGAAGAGAATAACTAAGATTGGATACTTCAAAGTCCGGCCATAAAGTAAAAAAAGACAATTGTGGGCGGGGCTACGTTTTTATACAGTAGACTTTTCCTGGTAACTTGCATAGCTAAATAGAGAGTATATCTTATTACTATTAAGCATTGAGCCGATAAAGGTTATTAGCTGTTGGCTATAATTTTTATGAGGCTTAAAATCGCTTAACAGGGATAGTTATATAAATAGAAGAGTGTTAGACTTAGAACATTTTCGGTCAAATAGTAGAAAATAGAGTAAAAAACAGACCGCTGATTAGACAACTAGAAGTGAGTCCATAAGATTGTAGGGGTACCAACAGAAACAAGTTGTAGGAAGACAAAAACGATTAGCGGAATGCCGCCTAACATTTTGGCTGCGAGAGCAGCACTTATCAATTGGATTGTAAAATTACTTTCGAAAACAAGTTTTAGAAAGACGGAAGGGGATGGTGGAGGGCCAGTTAACTTTTATGCAGCGCGAGAACTTGACTTTATTATGGGGCATTTGGCAATATCCGTTCAGGCCAAGGTAACTTTTACCTACGGACTTGACCATACTAGCAACAAGAAAAGAACACTAAATAATTTTCCTGTCTTTTGGTTAATTATAATAGAGCAGCATCTTTAAGGTTGCTTAAGATGCCAGC